CCCACCCTTCCACCACACCAGACTTACCAGCTGGAGCTCTCCATGCTGCCAGACTAGTTATCGGAAATCGGATTAGTATCAATTGACATGCCTCTTGAAAAATTGGCCACCAGTATAGGCCACAAAAATCGATTTGTGCACCCCTACTCTCTAGGTGTATAATTCAGCATTATATCTAAAACTTAAAATAACTAGAGGCTGTACTACTAAATTAAGTTAAACTGTACGAAGAGACTAGTAACTGCAAAGCAGGCATTTGTTTAATGGCTCTGCACACTACATCTGGGGAATCTTTCTGAAAGCTTCGTCCATTTGAATGATCAAATATTGTTACTTGAAGCCTTGAGATTGAATTTCAATCTCAAAAACTGCATTCCCACTCAATGTGCCTTTCTTCCCCCTCAACTTATTGGGGAGAAAAGAACTGTCAGAACAGACTGTACCCCATTATCACTATTTAGAGTCTTCAATTATTGCCACTGCCTTCCAGTGGGAAACAAGGAACTAAGCATCCATTACTCCTAACATAACAGCAGTTTCCTAATCTTCTAAATGAGGAAGTTTCATGTTTTAAGCACAAAAACGTTAGGAAAAAAAAGAGCTGCAGTATATAAAAACCTCATTTTGGTCCAGTTTTAAGTCTTAACATTAAAACTAGATGCACTGAAATGCTTAACTAGAAAGGAAGTTTTTAAAAGGAAGAGCTCCAAGTGCTAAGGACAAGTAACGCCCTATCAAAGACGTAAGGGCATTTACATGCAAGCCTATTCCATGATGCTTGTAAAGATGTTGTTGTAGAAATAAATGTTACTGGTTTTCAGGGATTAGAGCAGGGTGGAACAAGATTGCACTTAAATGCTCAAGTATCATTTAGATATCAATGGGTAGAATAGTTTAAGAAACTTCTAAAAGCTAATACTGCTATCCACTGGAGCAATAGTTTTCAAATTGTTCCACTGAACCCTAGGGTTCCATGCCAGATCCTGAGGCATTCTGCAAAGAGACTGGGGCCCATGGCAAAGTGATTCGGGAGGCAGTGGCCTGCCACTGCCAGGCTGGGTCACATGGCTGTCCACTTGCACAGCCTATATAGTCAGGTAAAAGCACTGCAGCACAAGTGTTATGAAAAAGTTCCATGACTTTTGGAAGTTTGAAAGCCACTGCACTAGAGAACATCTACCTAGTGAGATTTGGACTCTCTCCTCAAATTATTTTCATTTTAGACAGCTGGCAAAGTCTAAAACAGTTTGAGAACTGCTAATATTGAAAAAAACCAAGACAGGAAGATAATTTAATTGAAGCAGCAAGTAAAGTATTCCAACTGTTTACTCAGATTCCAGACAATGTTTGCCTTGTTGGAACTAAGCACTTAATTGGAGGAACATACAAAGAAAGGTTAAAAAAAAAAATCACAATCCTCTAACATAATTGGAACTGGATTTAAGTTTATGAAAATAATTTTACATGCAGCTGTATTCCACCCTCAATTACATGCAGCTGTATGCCACCTTCAATTTAAGGTATCGTTCTAATATAATAAAGGGCTTAGCTCCATCTGTCTGTCTGTCACGCTCTTGGAGCACTGACTGGTTTCTGAAACAACCATAAGTGCTCGAAGAGCATTATGGACAGGAGGAGGCAGCAGCAGCTTGGTGGAGCACTGCCATGACAGCAGGGACAGGGGAGGGACAAGGCAAGCACTGCTGGCCTCCTCCCCCCCCACCCCCCCATGCTCCTTGGAGGCAGCAGCACATGGGAGGGGCAGTTAGGGATAGAAACCTTCCCCCCCCACCCCACCCCCATCATTCTTAACAGGCAATTTGCTAGTTCTTTTATAATAAAGGGCTTTGTCCATCTGTCTGTCTGTAACACTCTTGGAGCACTCTGATTGGTCAGTGAAACAACCAGAGTGCAGAGTGCCACCCTGACAGCAGGGATAGAGGGGATGGAGTGGGTGAGGGAGGGGCCTAGGGTTAGCAACCTTCCACCCCCCGCTCTCCCACACTCCATCCCTGCCATCATTGCAGTGCTCTGCCGCCTCTAAAGAGCAGGGCTGGGGGGGTGACGCCAGCGGCACTGGAGGCAGCAGCAGTGTGGTAGCACTCTGTCTCCCCCATCATTCTTGATGGGCAATTCACCAGTAATCCCTATTACTATGTGTACTACCATTTCACTAGTGTACTCTGCATTTGCCACTTCAGCACCTACCCTTAATCTGACCTTCCAATTAACCCCATATATACCTCTATCAAAAAACATCCTATATAGTTAAAAGCTGATCTTTAAGTAAAAAAGAGGGGAGGAGTTAACATTTTTAAGGATAAAAGAAGCATGCACCTTGTCCCCGAGGGTAACATGAGTGATCTTTTCAAATGGTGAAATAATAAAAGAGGTTAGGGAAACTTTTGTAATTGCTTATAAATATACATCATACTTTGGGAGTGTTGATGTACCTGTGGTAGACCAAGAATTATGAAGTAGTAAAGATTTTTATGGGTGATATCTTCTATTGGACCAACAGCATATAAAAACCAATCAGCAGTGTTACTGTATCCAGGATGGTCCAAGGAATTGCAAGATATAATATGTAAGATTACAAAAGAATCTCAACTATATAGATGGAGTAGGGATCTAAATATTGTTTAAAAAAATTGGCTTAACCTTCTCTAATTATATTGGTTAAATGATTAACCGATAAACACAGCAGCTGGGACACAGCTGCTGCTGGGAGCCATTCCCTGGGTCCTTTGACTAGGGGGAGGAAGCAAGCTCATACATACAATATAGTCCACATGAAGCCCTGGCCCTGTGAGGGAGCGAATGTGCAGCTAATTGCTTAACTGATGAGCCATTAGGCTACTTGCTGTTTTCTTTTTAGGCTATGTCCCCCTCCCTCCTGCCATGCCGCCTTCCTGTTCCTGGGGCACAGGTCAGCTTCCCTTCCCCTGCCTTTCCCTGCCTGATTGTGAAGGCCCAGGGCTAAAGGAGAACTGGTAAGCTAATCACTTATCACTGCACTGATCGGTTAATCAATTAGTTGTTTAACCTTTCCCATCCCTAAGATGGAGACTTTAAGCTTTGTAGCACAAAATACCCTTCCTCGGGTCTTTCCTTTCCTGGTCCGAGGAAGGGCATTTCGAGTCCCTAAGCTCATCTAACATCTCTCCCAACTATATAGCTCATCCAATAAAAGATATGGCAGTAGAAACCATCACTACATGACAAGATTAAATTTTGCTGCCTGTAGTATTAGAAGGTCATACTATTATAAAATAGTTATCAGAAAGTTTTGGTGAAAATTTTGCTCATGAAGGGAAACCACTTTGATCTTCCTGTGATATCTTTCACACACACCTCCCCATGAGTCTTCATTCCCATTTTTCTGTCACTTATAGCACTCAGTGCAAAACAGGAGAGCTGAAAGAAATCTGATCACTGAAGTGTCCAAAGTCACTCACCACTCTCATGCTCAGGGGCACTCAGAATGGAGTAAAACAGACTGCTAACAAAGCTCTTAGGAATGCAACAGCCACCTATCAGGCATTCGGTTAGTCAGAGCAACAACACTACTAGCATGGCTCAGGACCAAATCATTTCAGCTATGTTTGTCCAATAACATGCATGGCATGATGTGCAGATTCTTTCCTGTCCTATAGCCTCAGAATTCTAATATTATAAAAGCCTTAATCTGTCTGTTTGTCCATAACACTTCATTTGCACTCGGACCAACTTAAACAGCCAATCAGAGTGTGAATACAGCACTGGGACAGGAGGTGGCAGCACAGCAGAGCACCACCATGATGGTGGGGACACAGGAGATGGGGGAGGGGGGAAATGAGGCTAGCACAGCTGGCCTCACCCCCCAGCCCTGCTTGCTACAGGTGGCAATGATAAAACAGAGGGGGGAGGGGCAAGGCCACCAGAGCTGGCCTCACCCTCCACCTTGCTCCTCGGAGGTGGCATGGGGAAGAGAAAAACAGGGCTGGGGTGAGCTGAGGCCAGCACCAGTGGCTTCTTCCGCCCCTACCCCTTACATTGTCACTGCCTGCTAGGCCAACACAGCAGCAGGAGGTGAGGGGGAAGCGGCACGCAATGGCCGGATGGGCAGAGGGGACAGGAGGAGCATGCCTCCACCCCGGCCCCAGTCCACTCCTCTCCACCAGCCCCCTGGGCACACATCGGCCCAGGCCTGCTGCTTCACCCCACCACCGCAGCAGGCCAGCTTCTTCCCACCCTTCGGCCTAGCCCCTCCCCCACACCAGCCGAGCCCAGGCCCACTCCCCCATCCCCCCACCCCTTAATCCTTAACAGGCAATTGGCTAGTATTCTAATAAATAGATAGGAAAATCAAAATGGGAAAGGATCTGTGGCAGACAAAAGACAGTACAGAAAGGAAGTAATTCCTGCTCACAGTAGGGGATACATTTTACTTCCTCAGAATACAATCACAGTGCTGTGATTAAGGCTAGAAAATAACCCATGTAATCTAGGGATTACTTGCAGGGTCCTCCTTTTGCAACCTGCATCTTCTATAGCCTTCCCGGTTTGTTACAGAACACATGGATGCCTACAAAATCAGTTCGACAAAGAGAACAGCAGCATTATTACACAAGAGAAACTAATGCCAAAAGCTGCCAAAGAAAAAGAGAAATTAAGGTTAGGGCATAAAACAAGGATTATTAGGAAGCAGGACATCACAAAATAAAGGAACAGAGATACCACAGTATGCTATCCTTATACTTTTCCATTTACACATGTGCTGCTATTCAGACGGGGATAGCCAACTTGTGGCATACATGCCACAACAGGCATGAACAACCTCTGCACATGGCACGTGGTAGATCAGGACAATAGCAGATACGGCAGAAAGCGCAGCAGACTGGACGGGAAGCACAAAGCAAGCAGCAGAAAACTGAGCAGAGCAGCATACTGAGCAATGGGAAAGGAAGAGAAACTGAAATGGTACTCAAAAGTGTGAGGGCTAATTTGTGGCAAGCCTGCCCAAAAGGTCCCATATAATATTTAAAGTTTTGCTTAATATGTGGCATAATAAGCAAAAAGTTTCATAAAAATATTGTGTGTCCTAGACAATTTTTTTTTCCTTTTTAAGAATGCGCCATTATCTGGGTAGCTACTGCACTACCTCCAATATCAAACCAGATTTTTCCTAGGCAAGAACACACATTAGGTTAAGGACTGCCCCAGTTCCAGTATTTAGAAGACTGTAGTAAAAATAAAGAGAAGCAGGTCAAAGAAAAAAAAGCCCTACCCTTTAAGTTCACAAGACTGCCAGCTAACTTGACTGATGAAGCCCTGTAATTCTTTACCCACATTAAATTAGAAAAGCTGGGAAATTAAGGCAGAGCAGTAGTTTCTCATAGGTCTTTATTTTTGTAAAACTGAATACTGCATGGTTAAAAAGAAACTGCAACTCCCAACTGAGCCTATCAAACTAGTGGGTTCGTCTAGGTAAGGGTAAGTTTTGGAAGCATTAACTAGGCCCTTCACTCTTAACTACTTTGTCCAATTCAAGAGAATTAGACATACAACATGAACTTTGCAGATACCTCAGAGAGCAAGTACAGCTTGATAAGAATGCGAAGGCTTTTTTTTTAATAAAATAAAAAAAATCATGTGTAGCAGTCAAAAATATTTAAAAGATGTAAGTTTTGGGAAAAGTCTAGTAACTATTAAAGGGAAAGAATTCAGAAGGCGCAGGAGTGGGGGAGAAAGGGTGTCAGTGGATTAAAAAAAAAAACAACATTAAAAAAATACAAGAAAAAAAATCAGATTTTTTTAAAACTTAAATCAGATTTTTTTGATTTAGTATTTTTTAATTTTTTTGTTAAAATGCTTTTTAAAAAAATTATAACCATCTTTATATAGGTTTATATTTAAGGTATGTTAAAGCCCCAATATCATAATGGGATAGAGATTATAACTTCTCAAATAATATATAATTAGGCAATATACTCATATAACCTTTATAGACAAGTTTTATAAATAGATCGCAACAGGCCACGGGTTATATGACCAGGCTGCCTGGCATGGTGCAGCAGCTCTCACCAAAGGCATGGGGGGGGGGGGGGCCCAAAGCCTCTACTCCCTCCAGCCCATGCCAGGGGCTGGGCTCAGCTCATGCCAGCAGCAGCAGAGTGGAGCCAACGTGCTATGGCCCGAGTGGGATGGGGGCAGCTGGGGACCCCTCCAGCTAGGCTGGGAAGGGACAGGGGGCTGTTGGTCAGGAGTGAGGGACACCAACCAGCATGCCCCAGGGGGGCAGGGGACTCAGGTTCAGGCACCAGCAGGGTATGGGGGTGTGGGTCAGGACAGGCCATGGATCTTTGCAAATGGGTCCCAGTAGGAAAAAAACCCCACTGTTTTAGGTTGAGCCTGAACCCTAGTCCCCTGCCCCACTGAGCCATGTTGGTTGGTGTCCCTCACTCCTGACCAACAGCCCCGTCCCCTCCCAGCCTAGCTGGAGGGGTCCCCAGCTGCCCCCCACCCCACTCAGGCCATAGCACATTGGCTCCAGCTCACGTGGGTAGCAGTGGAGTGAGTCCAGTCCTGGCACAGAGGGAGGAGGACAGGCCTGTGGCACCCCCCCACCCTTGGTGGGAGCTGCCACACCACGCCAGGCAGCCCCTCCCACCCCCAAAGCAGCATCTTCCAGCCACCCCGGCCCTGCGAGCACAGGCACCAGCCCTGGTGCCACCAGCCAGGTCACACAGCTCTTTGCCATCCCCTTCCCCCACTGGAAGGGGCAGGCGCCTTCCTGCTACCCTTCTGCCCTGTCGCAGCTCGCAACCCTTTGAAATATTCTTGGGACCCACTTTTGGGTTTCCACCCACAGGTTGAGAAACACTGGTCCCATTAAGCATCTCTGCGGTGCTTAGTTTCAGTTCTCAAACTGTGGATGCGTCTCTCCAGAAACAATATTTTTGTTAACAGCAGTATATGGAAATGAGAGAACAGACCTGATTAACTACCCATCAGCCTTGTTGTTGTTCTACAAGATTGTGTACGGAGTCAAGTCCTTACACCTCTCTAGAAGTGCAAAGTTTCAGGAAACTAAGTGAAAAGGATATCAAACAACAAGAATGGACTTCTTGTAGAAAACAATGATCAAGTCAAGGCTTTCTGACCACCTATTTCAATCATTACTTAAATCATGGGATAAATCGATTTGATTTAAATCAAATCCATGCTAGTATGAATTAGCTTTACTTTTCTGAAGACTAATGACAGTTACAGCTTTAGATACACACTTCACCTACAGAAACTTTAAAAAAAAAAGTATAGCAAGTCAGACATTAACACGATCAAAGGACTACTGCAAGATGCATCTGCATCTCAGGAACAGATTTGACACTGGAAGAACTCATCCAAGAGGGACAGACAGCTGAAGTTGTCTGCCAGGTAAATATGGAAGCAGGACATTTCCAAATTATTCTATAGCTCAACTGCATTAAGGGAAGACTCAAACCTAATGAACCCCTTCATACATCAGTTTCTTATAAAAACAAAATTACTTGCTTCTAAATACCTTAAAAATTCAAGCACCTCCATGAATTAAATAACCCTGCAAATCAACATTTAACACAACCATTCATGAAAATTGCATTTTTACCATGTTGTCGTCTCCAAATAAAAATTACTTCAATTGGAGCTGTAAGGCTGGGGGAGGGAAGAAACGAGATAGGAAGGAAGAACCTCAAGATAAACCACTTTTCTATAAGCAAATTTTGACAGGAAAAAGGCTACACCACAGATTAAAATCATGACAGAAGTTTAGAAGGGACTCAATATGGGGAAACTGTTTAAGGGAACCAGATTGAGAAAGCACCTGCCAAGGTCCTGAAGTTATGTCTGCCTAGATTACTACTCCCTGATGTCAGCCTTTACCTAATGCAGTCTATGAGCACATAGCTTCAAAATCTTCTCTAAATGCTTTGTTTCTTCTGCAGAAAGTCATCCTGGATCACTCTTTCACTATACACACACCAGATTAGATTCTAAAAGAAGTGCTACAGATGCAAAACCCAGTTAGACCTGCTGGGTAAGCACAAGTGGCACTGTAAGCTAGGGCCTGCTCTAAGAAAAGTGCAAAATTCCACTCTGGGGTAAGTAATAAAAGATCTTTGCCTTGAAAACTTGGGGGAGGGGGGAGTTGCACCCAAAAGAAAGCACCAGTTGCAAATACACTCCATCAGTTGATCTTTATATTCCCTACATTCTTAGTTGCAATTTCACTATTGAAATGTTTTGTTTAATGTGTTTCTGGATGCCAAAGTACTGTATTTTTTCTACTTCTTCACTTGAATACTCTGCTTGCTCTTTCTTCCTGCCACCTGCTTAACTCAAAAGTTCTATTTTTTCCGGTACACAGGTTAACTGGACTAGGCCCTACATAATTTTTTATATGGCTACCATTTTATACTTTGGAGATTCTGCTCAGCTGCAGTTACATATTTTAGAAGCCTAAACCCTTAAGTAACTAGTATTTTACTCTGAAGAAAAAAAATGACAAATAAAGAATGTATAAATTACCCACTAATTGATCAATTCATTCCATCTTAAAAATGGCATGAAAACACTTCAAAGCTAGCAATAGTTCACTTATGAATCAGATTAAGATCTGTTATATAAAACTTGTTAAGAACTATGTAAAACTGATTATCAGAGAACTAGGAAATGTTTCCAAAACCCAAGAGACTAGCTTTCAAACCAAACAAGGAGATGGCTGACCAAACAGAAGTGCACAAAACTAAGTTCTGTACCAGAACTCTGAGACTAAAACATCCCATTTCACATAGCAGTAATCACTCTTAACATTGCAACATTTTAACCAGATCATCCAGAAGTAAAAACAATGTTGTATAACACCAGTAAAAGGTTCTCTCAGCAAAAGCAATACTGCTTTTAAGCAGTATTTCTTTAACATAGTACAGAGAATAATGAAGATTACCATATTTTCAATTTGTTTAGGAATAGAGGCAATTTTGTCTCACTAAACAGTCTGTGCCAAGACTGGTCAGGATGCTAGGTAAAGTAACAGTAAGTCTGGGACAGTAATAACTTTGCTCCCTCTCAACGATCCATTTCTACATTACCTAGCAAAGCACTGACCAGACCACTATCCTGCCCATAAAATGAGTAGAAAATTAAAATCATCAAGTTCCAAAGCAGCAGAAATAAGGGGGGGGGGGGCATTCCTTCACCCTCCCCCAACTGTTCCTCTTCTGCAAAAAGCTCAAGTCCCCTTCCAACAGTCAGCTGAAAGGTTAATACAGTAAAAGCTTTATCTGGCATGAGTGGGATAAAGGGGGTGCCGATTATCTAAAAATTCCAGTTATCTGAGAGTTATATGGAAGACTATGCACTACAAGCATGGCACTTACTTGATGAACATGCCAGATAAGACTCGTCAAAGATTCCAGTTGCTAAAGTGAGAATTTGCATTGGGATATTGGAAATTCCAGTTAAGAGTATTCCAGTTAGTAAAATGCCAGTTAACACAACTTTTACTATGGTATGTTTTAGAAACCACAGCATTTCTACTAGCATTGTACTGGGAAACAGGGCTTTAAGGAGTGCCAGTCAACAAGTTCCCTTTTCATGCTGCAGAACAGGCCATAAACTGTAAGCTAAACTTGCATTGCACACTAATGCTACAGGATATACCAGTTCCAAAATAACCTTCAATAATTCCTTTACTGCTTTAAAATTTCTGCTCTCATTTAAAACCAATACACCTTTTTACACAAGTAACTAACAACCCTCCCACAGGCAAATAAGCCACAGATCCTTCAGAGCAAATATAATAAATGTCTTTCCTCTGGACTGTTAGATGCAATGCCACTCTGGTTATATAATTAGTGAAAACAGGCCCAAATAAACCCCCAAACTTAACAGAAGGCATGCTTACATAAAGAGCCCACCCACTCTTTATTTCAGGAAACACTGAGAAAGTTTGACTGTTACCATGCAGAGCTATGGCTTCACGGAAAGGCTGCAAATCAGTCTCTACAGATGAGCTAGTTTCTGTTGAAGTAGCTCGGTTAGGGGATACTACAGTCAGTCTTGGGGGAGCTCTAGAGTTTCTTGGAGGAGGAACTTTTCCACATAGGAAGCTGATCAAGTCTTCTCTACGAATAGTTCTTCTGCGTTTTTTAACCCAAGCTAACACATCCTTATTGCGACGCTGATAGCCAATTTGAATTCCTACATCAAAACTTCGCTGATGGGCATCCACACTTTCTGCAGAAAAAAAAAAAGACAACAAAAATGTTTTTAGTAAGAACTTTAACAGCTGAAGCAATTTAAATTGGTGAGACATTCATTCATAATAAAGCTTCCCACAAAGATGGATGAAAACAAGATTTTTACTGCACTGCTGTTCTAAATTACCTGTCATGTTGAGATTCAGGGCAGTGCTTTTTCGAATCTTCAAGACACCATTTAACCAAGGTCAAACTTTTGTCCATGTGAGCTTCCAAAGTGATTAGTCACAGGACAATTCATATCCTAGTTGTATTATGAACTACTACATTTCAAGGTAAGGATCACACCTCTTTTCTCTATTAAATCAGTATCCAACACAACAGACTTGTGATCCTAACTCAAACCTGACTGCAGTACTATAATAAAAACCTTTACTACAAATAAGTGAGAATTACCTAGAATGTGATTTTGGTACACAAGATTAGCTGGAAATTTGTTTTTTAAAATGAAGCTTGGGCTTTAATTCTAGCACTGTAAACAATGACCTATGGAACTGGAATTATGGAACTTGAGTGAAACAGTATCAACTGGAAGGCATCTAATTTAAAAGAAGTAGCTTCAGGAATTATACACTTAAGTACCCTTCCCCACCGCTCTGTTACAGCTTGCCTAATCATTTAAAACCTGACTGTTCAAAAGAAATTACCTAGAAAGAAAGAACACCGTTCAAAAAAATGTTTTAGTATTTCTTCTGTACTTCCCCATGGCAAATAATTATCAAACAAATGCATTTTTTATAGTATTCCTTAAATCTAAATATGCTGTGTATAACTATAAGCTTGAGCTCCCTGTTCTGTAGCATCTCTCATGCAAAGCCTCTTGAGTCCTTCCCCAACTTGGGTATTTGATAGCCAATGAAGACATGGTGGATAAAGCTGTTGGCATGTTTTCCTTGCAAAGCCAGTGCAAGTTTTAGTAGATATTAACTTAGGATGAAGCTAATGTTTTAGTGGGACATGCTCTTAAAGTGCATTTTATTCAGTATACAAGTTCTCACTCAAGAAGTTCCTTATAGATACTGATTGACAACTTAAACCTTACTGGGGATTCAAAATGGACTGAACAATGATTTCAGCAATATATTGATGTAAGTCACAGTTTGTGGGACATAAAGTGTTCTTTACTCATTAACTGTGCTCATTCTGCTGCTTCTACCACAGTAATTTGTTCTCAGAGCTTTGCCAAGAGTGATTTCAGTGTATGAACAAGACAAGCGGCTTGGCTGTTGTTCCATAAGAAACACATGAAAATAAGTGTTGGAAATTCCACTTAAACTCCCTTTAAATTTCATAAAAAAGGTATATCAAAGAACATACTTAAAAATCTGGCAGTATTTGCTAGCTTTTCTACATGTTTGGTATTTTTCCTTTGATTGGGGAAAAACTCAAAGAAAAGCAATATGCCTAAACTATTAAAGCACATTCTGCAGAAAGGCTAATCCTGAAAACAGCTATTTTGAGACCCTGTCTCTCTCACTTTTCTATCAAGTTTACCTATAAGCAAAATTACAAAGTGTTTAAAACATAAAGAAACACAGCATAAATAATGATAAAGCAATCAACAATATGGAGAGAATCAAAAGCCTACTGACAAGCCACTTTTAATGGTGCCATTTCATTATCCATGGGGGGGAGAGAATCTAATTAGCATAATTTATCCATTAACAAAGATTCCTTTTCTAGGTAAACCTTTATGACCGTTAAGTAGCTATTAAAACCCTAAGAATTAAAAATATTTAAAAATGCACACAGTTGAATTCTCAAACTATAGGGACCCTAAGAAACAGATAAACAATCTCTTAGCTTTACCAAGTTCATACCACAGCCTTCCATCTCATCATAAGCATTTATGTTTTTTCTATGTGCCTAAAATGTTTTTAAGGACTAGAAAACAACTAAGATGACAGAAGCTCCAAGAACTCCTATGCACTTTCAGCTATTAAAGTTACTACAAACTGCAAGACAAGAGTTCAAAAGTGTACATTTAAAAGCCATTAAGACTCAAGGTGTCATGTACACTAGGAAAGAGAGGCTGCTGCCAGGAACATTTAACACTGGAGGAACTGACCAAGAGTTCCAGTCATACAAGGTCAGTAGATACGGCAAGCTTAGGGCTTCAACATCACTACAAGAGACACGCCCATGGTTTTAACTACAACTGTCCCAATTTCACAAACAAACCACAAGTTCTGTCCCTTCCCATGATCTACTGTATTTGCAACTCCTGTGTTTAAAATCAAACAATTAATATATTTACACAACTGTCTTGTTTTAAATAGTAAAACAAGAGATGCTGGCTAAAGTGTTAACAACATGTCAGCGCTCTCTCCTAGGCAGAAAAAGAGGAAGAATTTGGTTCTGAGAAAGCAAAAAGTCTCTATAATTTTCTATGATGATATTTAAAAAAAAACCAAAAAGGTGAGGGAGAGGGGTTGACCTATAGAGGCATCCAAAATATTTTCAGAGCCAATCAACTAGGGTGTGGAAGAAAAAGAAAATACCCTGTTGCCAATTTAGTTTGTTTGGATGAGCATTTGTTGGCAAGCCTAAAGACAAAAGTATCTATGTATCAAGCACTACATGTTTCCACAAAACTATAAAAGGACAAATACTTAATGCTCACATCAAGTTTACAACTGAAAACTGCATGCAGACCACTTGAAGTATTTGGGAAAAATTGAACAGACTGGATAAGTAATGGAAACCTATTAGGGACATAAAAATTGACAGAATTCAAGATAAAAGAAGTTTTAAATCATCCAATGGTTCTTTAATAATTTTGACAGCTTCATAGACAGCACATTTACCACCCGCACACTTGACAGTAACAAAAGAGTATTGAACAGCTACATTCCTTATCCACAGAAGAAAACAAGGTTTGTGCCTTTTTTAGTACTGTTTGTATTTAAAAGGAGTCTACCCTTTAGCCCTTCTAGTTCACAATTTAAAATTTAAGAGATTTTGTCCACTGGAATCCTCTTGCCAAATTTCAACCATTTTATACACCTCTGTCACTAACAAATTTCAGGTATTAGTTTTTACTTGCTGCTGTCCAAAGTATTAGGACAGATGCACAATTTAATAGCCTGAGTCTTCTTGTTCACATCTGAGTAAGATCATATTCAATTTAATGATTATTTTTGCTACATTTAAGAGTAACATGAAACTTATTTAAAAATAGTATAGATAAAAGTCATAAGAAGTTAAACCCCTTGACTGCCTCAACATATAGCTATTCTAGCTGAAGTACAGGTGTGATTTATACAACAGTTCCTGTTTGTCAAGTGGTAATACAAGAAAATGGAAGATGTTGTAGTTAGACTCATCAAGGAAACAGGATGAGCGCTTTTTTGGCTGCTCTGTCAAAGCCTTGCCTAATGACTAGCATCTTTAGCCATTCATTCAAGCCTGAATTCCATTCAAAGAACTACAGAAGGGCCTCACCTGTAATTTTCCACCCCTTCACCTACTATACGTTATATTTTGCAAATCAAGATAAATTGTAAGCACTTGTCTGTGGTAGAGGCAAGTCTACAGTGCAACAATGGTTAGATATCTATTGTTTCCCACACCCATCCGTTGTTCGTAAGAGGCATGATTAGCAGTCAGAAATACTATGCAGGTATGTATAGTATTTAAAATAATTTAAAATAAATTAATGAATTCACAAGCCATCTAAATGCAAAGCCAGAGGCAAAAAGCATGATGACATCCTCTACCACCTAGAATTCTAGACAGAGAAGGAAGCAAATGCACCATTCCAAAAATGAGAATCAGGAACACAATTGTTTATCCGAGGCTTCTTCTAAAGTCATCTCTCTCAACTCATAACCAAGATGAAGTAAGAAAGACATTTGTGAACTAAGCAGTGCAAAAGCTGGTTTGGATAAGTTCACAGAACGTTTTTCTAATAGCAACTTTTTCCAAGCAAGCTATTTTTTGTAAAAGAAAAGAAAATTAAGCCTCATAATACCCAATATCAGCAGTTTAGAAGTGGAATTTTTGGAAAACATGAAAAAAACTCCAATTTAACAGCTAAACGTAACTATATTTGTGTGCATCAACAACTGGCAGATCTATTCTTTTGCAAGTTTTTATGAGGAGTTGGTTTTTTTTAAGTTAATTTCTTATAATCATCCTGGACATTTTAAAATACTGAAATCACTAAATTTAATATGATCTGACTCAGATGTGAACAAGACAACTCAGTAGCTGTTAAATCACATACCTTTCCCAATAGATTTTTACCTGCTGTTGTCCAAAGTAATACTTGAAATTTGTTATGGTGACAAAGATGTATAAAAATGGTTGAAATTTAGCAAAAGGATTCCAATGGATAAAATCTCTTAAGCTTAAATGATCTTTAACACAACCCTAGAAGACTTAATAAAATGTCACTGATGCCAACGCAAACACAGTAAGTTGCATTACTGTATTCATTACGCACACGACCCTCAACGAAATACAAGCCAGCTGTGAAGCCTGTCACCTTGCAACCACTACTGTCCAGGAACTCAGCAATACAAAGCCACCACCCTCAAGCGGTGCTCCTTGGCCTGCTCTATGCCCACCACACTTATGCAGAAGAGCCACACCTCACCATCTCCCTTGTCAAAATGCCCAGGGTGAAACTTTTGAAGGATCAGTCACTGCCGTGGAACCCCCCTTAAGGGAGAAAAAGCCACCCTGAGCTACAGCAGTGGGGAGAGCTGGAGAGACCAACCCAGGAAGCGCGGGGGCGACCTTATCAGAGCAACTAGGCACAAGGGGAAGCCCTGCTGGGGGAGGCCCGGGCGGCCCCTTACCTTTGTAGAGGTTGGTGACGGCAGTGGCGGCGTTCTGGAAGGGGACCCACAGGGACAGCCCCGGCTGCTGGCACACCCGGTCTGCGGAGGGAAGCGCCGGACACCCGCTGTTTATTTGGGAGTCACTAACTCCGAACGGCCATGTTGGCTTTCGCCATTTTGTTCCGCCTCCCGCAGGCAGCCCGGGGTCGGGCCGAGCGGGGGCCGCACCGCCCGCGCCTGCTCCCCGGGGCCGCACCGCGGACAG